GCAGTAATTCCCGGTTTAACGCGCAAATATGCAAATTAGCCTTTTTCTAGTCTTCTATTTTTGGTGAATTCTTGGGTTTTAAATTAAAATAGCTGATAGACGCTTTGGCCATTTGCCTCGAAAATTTCAAACATTATTGACAAGGTGTTCCCCCTTCAAAATGCGTCCGGACAGTTTATTACGGCGAGTGGAACAAAAATAACAAGTCCGCAATTAACATGGATATATAAATTATGCAAAAATAGAAAAGAGTGAACTTTGAGGTCATGCTGTGCGACTTTGAAAGCCGTTAGAGAGATGAGTGGACGCATTTGAATTAGTAGTATACCAAGGTATCCAGTGATGTAATTTTACCCACAAACGGACTTGAAGTTTTTAAGCTAATTTTTTTTAAACCACTTTTGTCCAAAAAAGCATATTTTTGACCCAAAATCAAAAACGCATTCTGGATATTTAAAATAAAGACAAGTTTTACAAAGTTTGTATAATAAGCTTTCAGAAAATATATAACATGTTGGATATATAATACCATCTTCATTGTCTAATTACTCAATTAAAAAGCAAGCCGAATAAACTGCATCTCTACCTTAAACTTCAAATTACACAAAATATTCATACTTAAATGGCCGTAACTCTAACAATTTGGTATCTCGTATAATGAACACATTGAATGTCTGCCGTTCACATTGGTGGTTGAATGCTTGCTCAACACTGCTATGGATACTGATATAGTAAATTGAGGTCGATGTGCGGGATTAAACACGCAATGCACATGCATACACCAGTGATAGGCTTAAAAATTTATTCCCCTTGCACTATATTTTAATGAAATTGAACCAAGGTCGAAGTGTAATTGGGATTTTAACTGATAAATCAAGGTTCTGGAAGTTATTAGTTTGTGTTTTGCTAATTTGTTTGATTCAAAGCAGTATGCATCAATTTGCTGCGCAGAATCCATGGTGGTTTTGAGTGCACAGCAAATGACCAAATATATAACGCTCTCTCTGACAATGCCGTGGACCCAGGACTACATGCCCGCTTTTCCTGTTGAACAAGCTATCGAGCTATCGTATTGACCTTATATTCTGTTTTTGTTTTCAGGGTCTGCAATTACTGGGCCTGTTGCAAAAGAATGTGCTGACCTCTGGCCCCGTATTGCGAGTAATGCTGGCAGTATTGCCTAGCTGACAAACCTGTGATTGTCTGAAGTTAATTAAAAAAAAAAGAAAAAAAAATCAGTGTTATTGTCTTAAATTCTTTCATCGGTCGGTCTTTCCGTTCTTTTGGTCAGGATTTTGCAGGATTCTTGGTCTACAGTACAGTTAGGGTCTAAGCTGGCTGTCAAGTGGCCATAAAAAAAAAATATAACTATCATCAATATTCTAATATATTTAGTCCCCGTTCGGACGCAGTCCGAAAACGGGGACTTATGTTTTGCCCTGTGTGCGTCCGTCCGTCCGTGCGTCCGTGCGTCCGTGATCACCTGTATCTCGAACATGCATGGACCGATTAAGTTCAAACTTCACTCATACATCACACATTATATGGGACATATGCACATGCATTTTTTTCATGATCCGATTAACGATAGCCGAATAGCGGCCATTTTAAGGCCGAAAATGCATCAAAATCGCACATTTTCACCATTCCGGACCCGGATCTCAGTTATGCATGGACGGATTTTGTTCAAATTTGGTACATACATTAAACATAATAGGACCTTGATGCACGTCATTTTTTTTTTCGGATCAAGTTCGAAATAGCCGACTGGCGGCCATTTTGTTTTAAAGAATTCAGTTCTGGATCCGTATCCGAGACATGTCTGGATTGATCAAGTTCAAACTTCACACACACAAGGTACATTATGT